CCGCCCCTAACCTAACCCCCCACCCCCACACCACTATTGTCGCATTCACAACTGTTACTCACCTGCACCTTACCCTATACCAATCCACCACTAAAAACCATGCCATTATTGTTGTCGTCATACCCACCCACTCCCAGCCCCAACTACCCAACCACTATCATTGTCACAACTATCACCCTGCCACCTACCCTTACCCACCCCATCGCCCCGCCCCGCCCTGTCTTGCCCTCACCCCTTACCCTATTCTAACCCACCACTAACCACCATACTATCATTATAGTCATCATAGGTACCACCTTGTCCCACTCTGCCTGTCCCCAACAACCCCCACCTATGGAGAGGGATGGGGGCAAGAGTGGTGGGGGAGGGGTTAGCGTGTGTAGGGTATGGACAAGGTGGGGTTGAGTGATAGTTGTGATGATGACAATAGTAATATGGTGGTTGGTAGGATGTGGACGGTGCGATGGATGAGATAGTCTAAACAAAGCCGATTGTTCTAGTTCTAATGAGAGATCTCATTCCAATTCTTACCAACCAAATGCGTACGGTCAAATTCCATCAAATTTCAATCAAATTCCTTTAAAATCAAATTCTTCCAAAGTCAAATTCTTTTAATAAATTTCAATTCAATCAAATTCCATTATATGAATCAAACATCCCTTGATATAAATTTATATAAATTGAATGAAAAAATTTAATATATAAAAAATTGGTTACATACAAATTTAATTTGTAACATAGTATACGTATCAAGTGAATTTTGGTGTAGATGCTCTGAAACATAAAATCGGTCTCTGCCCAGTTTCTTCCATCGTTCTCTGCAGATTTAGACGCCGCTCGAACCTAGAAGAAAATCACGAAGCCCAGATCGAAGGTACCTTTTTTCTTCAAATCGTTTCCTTCAAATCGATTTCTTCAAACAATGTTCTTGTTGTTGAAGAAATCGATTTCTTCGAATCTTCTGAAATCGAAATCGAACCTGTTGATATCTATGTTCTTTTCTAAAATCGGTAACTTCTTTTTCTAAAACCTGAAATCAAACCTGATATCCATCTTCCTGTCAAAATCTCATGAATGTAGTCTTCGTGTTAACTTCATGTGATGCCTGCAACTTCTGAAATTGTTGTCTTCTGGAAATCGATTCCATTCTTGTGATGTAACCTTCCCAGTAACATAACCTGAGAAAAAAAGCATGTAGTTGGAAATTTCTTAATGCAAAATTGGTATCAATCAGAAAACTTCAAAGAAGCAACCAATAGCTGAGATGGAAACTCTAGCACTTCTAAGTCAAAGCAAGGTTCGAGACTATAGGTGCTCTAGATTCAAAATTTGCAACTTCTCTTTTACCACATGTGATAGAAATCTCAACTTCGATCAATAATGAAAGAGAAACTTTGGATCAGAGGACATTCACTGGACTTCACATTAGATCACCCAAAATGCAAGGGGTTACACTCAAATGAGTTGCGAATGGATAGAAATGGGAAGGTTAAGGTTTTAAGGTTTTTTGGCACCATATACAGGAACTAGGTATCATTTATGAGAATGGGAAGACATTAGTCGTGCACCTACTAAGAAGAAAGAATACTTTAACATGAAACACTCACATGCTAGAAATATTATTGAGAGGTGCTTTGATATCATGAAAAAACATTCGGCTACATTACAAAGTCCTTCTAATTATCCATATAAGATATCAAGGGCGAATGATCTTAGCATGTGGTTTGCTGCATGATGTTTTAGGATATACATGGCCATTAATCCTCATGAAAATGAAACAATCACTATTTAAAAATATGCCTACTGGGGAAGAGCACTTTAAACCATCCGAGTTCATTGAACAAGAGTAATAATCGTGTTCCTATTGATTACAAGAGTTGTCTAAGTATTGACTATTGAGGACACCAAAATTCAATTGATGTTATTCAACATAATTTACCTAAATCGCAGATCTAATCCACCTAATTCTAGGTCGTATAAAAAACGACATATTATGAGATAATCGGTACGAATCTCAGCTATCAATTGTTGTGATATTACTTTTACTCTAAAAACGAAGTGTGGTTTTTTGTGATATCTTCTATAATTCTACTGCGATTAATTGGAAAGGAAACTTAAGAGGTTTCCAATTTGAAAATGCTGGCTAAGAGACTATTTTAAATTTTCCTAAAATAGTCTTTTCCGCAGCGTTTTCAATATTTTTTTGGGTATACTTGGTAGATGCACTGTGTGCATATGGAGTTGTATGTTTCACTATAAGTTATATTCCAAGGGAGTACAAATAACGATTTTGTTTTCTGCAGGTCTGTCATTTAGACCGCCTTTTCTGGCGGCCAAATCCCGACCAATCTCCAAGTTACAGGTTCCACGCTTTTGCACAGTTATAATCTTCTTCAATCTAGATATTTGCTTTTTTTTGAGCACGTACGTGAGCTTTGGAATTAGAACAAAACAGAATCTTGTTTCTGGAATTGAAATTGGAAACTTCTAAACTATTTTTTTTTCAATTAATTACTGTAGAACTGATGATATCGAAAAAATGACACTTCATTTTTAGAGCAAAAGTAATATCACACAAATTGGAAACTGAGATTTGTAACGATCATCTTATAATTTGTCATTTTTTATGCGACCTGGAAGTAGGTTGATTAGATATGCTATTTAGGCAAATTCATGTTGAATAACATCAATTGTTTTTTGGTGTCCTAAATACTTAGACAACTCTTGTTAATCACTAGGAACACGATTATTGCTCCTGTTCCAAGAAAAGAGCTACATTTTGATTTTCGATGCTAAAGATGCTTACTTGAACTTTAAAATTAGTAGCATTTCAAAATCTCAAGAGGCTTTGCTAACTAAGTTCAACGAAACACAAGTGGGATAGTGGTGGGGCTAAGTTGTAACTTAATTAAAAAAACACTGTATTAGTGTTGCATTAGAAAAGTATAAGTTTTGACAAATAGAGTTAGAATAGAGCTCTCTACTTTCCTGAATAAAGAGTTTGATTATCATGTAGTGAGTCAGTGTCAGGTCATTCTCTGTGCCATTTTCAGTTTATGTGTTTATGTTATTATAGGGGTAAATCAATTCTAAGAAATGTCTGCTCCACAAGAGAGGTGGTGTGTTGTCACTGGAGGAAGAGGCTTTGCTGCACGGCATTTAGTTGATATGCTGATCAGGTATGAAATATATTCTGTTCGGATTGCTGATTTGGCTCCTGATATTAAGCTCGAAACCCATGAGGAAAAGGGAAATCTTGGTCAAGCTTTACGATTAGGCCGTGCTCAATACGTATCTATGGATCTCTGTGACAAATCTCAAGTAAACAAAGGTAACTTGATTAGCTTTATTTCTGTTTGCTACAAGTAGACTTTTTATCTGGCCCACTTTTAGTTTTATCCCAAACTTTTTATGAGCATATTGTAATAAGATGCAGGAACCAAAAAGCAGCAACTTCTTCCATAAGTTGTTGCAGCATTTACTGAGCTTTTAAAGATAGAACCGGATAAGTTATATTATATGTGGCACTCTTAACACTCCCAACATTCAAACATATTATGGCTAATTCTCAGTCATTACGTGTGATGTTATGCTCTCAAACATGACTTTGATTAGCTCTTCAGATAATCATTGAGAACTTAGGGGTGAAGCAAGTAATTACAAGAGGTTATTAAGGAGAAGAAGAGATGCTACAAACTCTTACAGGGTTGTAAGAATGCAGATAACATGGATTAGAGAAGTACAAATAGTCCAAGGAAGCAAATAAAGCAGTAAGAGAAGTTAGTGATAAAGCCTATGAAAGTTCTACAAGAAATTAAGAACAAAAATGAAAAAGATGTATAATAATTGGCTAAGATAAAGGAAATGGAAATGTGAGAGTTACCTTACATTGACGAAGGATGACAACCTAAGGCTTTCCATAAAAAAACATGATGAGGTTACAGAATGATGAAGGGTTATTTTGACATGTTGTTTTGTGAAACTATTAAGGGGTAGTGGGGAAATAGATGATTCTTTTCATAGAAGGTTTGCACGTAATGTCAACATGTGAAGAAACCACTAAGAAATATGAAGAAAGCGAAGCTTTAAGGTCTGGTAGATAGAAGTTTGAAGATCCTTTTGAGAGGTAACCATATGGTATACAAGGAGTATGGTAGATGAATGAAGAGTACACTGGTCCCTTTTTACAAAACACAGAGGAGATAACTCAAAATAGTATGAATTATTGATGGACCAATCTATCAATCATACAATGAGACTATGAGAATGAGTTATAGGTATAAGTGGTGGGTTGGAAAAGTTTCTCAAAATCAGTTTGTTTTTTATGGTCGGATAATAGCGATAGACTGTTTTGTTGATTAGACAAGTCATGTAGATATATAAAGGACATAAAAAAGACTTTATACATGGTGTTTATCGGGGTGCATCATGTCATTTTGTTTTTTCTTTATTTACTTATTTTCTGGGAATGGGACCCTTACCGCCAGAAAGGGAAATGAAACTCCTTATATTGATGGAGGTGGGACTTAAAATTTAGATGTATGGTCGTTGCTTCTCAAATTTGACTTTGCATGCTGTGTGCTGTGCCATTTTGCAGCTTGTGAAGGGGCCGAAGTTGTTTTTCATATGGCTGCACCAGATTCATCCATTAATAACTACAAGCTGCATTATGCAGTCAATGTGCAAGGTAAAAAAATGACAATGAACATAATTCAGTTAATATCTGAGGTAGAAATTCCCAGATGAGAGATTAACTTTTGACGGCTATGGTAATACCTTCTCTTTTTAGCTTTATGCAATTTGAATTTCAATATTTGGACCTACAGGCACCAAGAACGTAATTGATGCTTGTACCAAGCTCAACGTGAAGAGGCTTATCTATACTAGTTCTCCTAGTGTGGTTTTTGATGGGGTGCATGGAATATATAATGGAGATGAATCATTGCCATATGCTGCTAAGGTATTGTGTTCGTAGGATTTTTAAATAAATTTTAGCAGAGAATTATGTACAACTTTGGATATCATTTGACCATGAATTCTTAGACTTCTGAAACCACTTTGGCATATGCGCTTCCTTCTTTCTTTTATTAGTTCTACAAGATAGAACCAATGCACTGTTCTCTGTCTCTCCATGTTAAGTAGTTTTAGTTCTTTCCCTATAATGTTGTTAGTCGATGAATCAATTCTCTAATACAAAGAGCATCTCTTAAAAGGATGTTCAGGACATAAAGGTTCTGCACTAGTATTATCATAGCTTGCAGTGGAGTAACCTTGTCATACTGATCCAATTTAAATCCCCATTGCTGAAGGAAACGATTTCTGGTTCCTTCTTATTTATTAATTGCTCTTCTCTTTTGCCTGTCAGCGTTATTTCTTTGTTTTCATAGTAGCTGAGTGCTGGGGAGGAATGTATATCAATGTGAAAACACAATGAATTTATCGTTGATTGTCTCCATTTCTCATCAGGATACTCGATCTTCAGAGTTAATCTATCTAGGAAATTTAGCTATGCAATAATATGTATTTTAATGTTTCAGCATAACGATTCATATTCTGAAACTAAAGCTGAGGGAGAGGCATTAGTTATCAAGGCTAATGGCATCAATGGACTTCTGACATGCTGCATCCGTCCTAGCAGCATTTTTGGACCTGGTGATAAGTTGCTTGTTCCATCTTTGGTTGCTGCAGCAAGGGCAGGGAAATCGAAGGTAATGAATTACTTGACTTTCTCAGTGTGAAATTAGATTGCAAGTTTATATAGCTAATTAGGAATGGGGTACTGATAGACTTAAGAATCATCTGCATGCCGGTCAATTAAAACGTTTTTGTAACCTTTAGGTGCATGATCTGTTATCAGTCTCAGCTGGAGTTCTAGTTGTTACTGTTACTCTGTCAGATCAGATTGACTGGAAAAACTCGGCTTCTTATTACAACGGAGCTGGCTAATTGGAATAGATTTTAATGTATACTTTGCTTTTGATTTCTGTATTACCAGTTTATTATTGGGGACGGCACAAACATGTATGATTTCACCTATGTTGAAAATGTGGCACATGCTCATGTATGTGCTGAAAGAGCTCTAGCATCAGATGGATCTGCATCAAAGAGAGCTGCAGGCGAGGTAATTTTAATCTGTCTTTTCAATTGGACTCTTGTCCGTAAACTAAGTTAATTGGATGCGATTGTATAATATCCACACATTCTCGCAATAATTTGTGTGATGCACACAATTGTACTTGAGCCTTTTTTATTTCCTTGTAATATCAATCAATATAATAAATCTAAATTCATGTATTCCAAGTTGAAAGTTAATCCTTTGCTTTAATAGTCTACTTAAAGCAGGTTAATTTTTTAAAAAGGAAGTCCCTTCAAAGATCTGCATTCAAGGGAAAAGTTTCCATCAATGGTGCAGAAAATACTAGAATTTAGTCTACATGATAGTTCAATAGTTAATAGTTATGATCGTTAAGTTTCCACTGGTTATGAAAGAAGGAATATTTCTTCATGATCAGGTCCTTGCATGGCATGTTCCAGTAGATGCTAGGTACCACAGCCATGCAAACATAATTTTGTGATTGTTGTGTTATTACTTTATTATTATATGCATGGAGTTGTATATGTAAGCATTTATGGATGTAATGGACTCCGTTGGTTACATTTCAAGTGAATTTAGAAATGCCTGCAGATTGTAAAGAAATCTTGCATTTGCTTGCTCATTGACGAACAGAAGTGATATACACCAGAATTTCTATCCTACAGGCACACAAAACAAAAAGTATACCAACATATACTGAAATTATATATTCACGGGATTGAAGGAACGGAAGTGAATTTAGAAGTACCCAGAAATTGTCAAAAATTACATCTTTTTGTAACATGTAAGGCAATATATTGTGTATCTGCAATTTGGATTCACGTTATATATTCATGAGATTAAAGGAACATGTCGCCAATAACTCCTCTAAGTACTTTGGCTGGTAGGTTGCAATTCCAACAGTTATATATAGCTACAATACTTGCCTCATATATTGTGCTAACTTGTACATGGAGGTCATAAGAAGGTGAACCATCATGCTGGACGGAAACTAAGTTTCAATTTTACTTGATAACATAATTGGGTAACACGCGCAAACGTGAGTCTTTGTGGACCCAACAATTGCATCTAGCTAGTAGATAGAGGGGCCAACAATTGTATGCCATTTTTGCTAAAAAGTGTGTATGTAACTTTCCTGAGCCATGTTGCTATCCAACTTTATCATTACATGGTAAATGGTGTGGGATAGACATCTTTTTACAAGCATTCAACTCTCGATCCTTAATGGTACAACTCATTTATATTCTTGTGGGGGTCTGGAGGTATGGGTAACAAAGGAGTGGGAGTGGGCAAGTAGAAAATTAAGAACTGCCCCCGGCGTGGGGGGAAGGGAGGAGATAGAGGGAACAAGAGGAAAGAGGTACTGAGAAGAGAGAAGAAAGGAGAGAGGAACCTTCAAGGGTATGACCTTTTTGTATGTTAGAGATAAGTTCCTCTATCTATGTCAACCCAGCATCTTTTATGCTCAGCAAGACCCATCTTCTAGGTGAATTAGAGGTATGGGACTTTAGGGGGTGAAAGGAAGATAGCTTTCTGTTAAGTCATACTTGTTGTGAATTAGACTCTTCTCTAAAAGGAGCTGTTTCAAAGATAGCTGTCAAGAAACCAAATCTCAGAAATATATTATGGAAACATGTGTATTGATATATTTAGAGCAACTCACATTGACTATACCTTATAGAATGTTGTCAGAATATGCTCTTTTGTTTACAAGGCTCTTCCTAATGCATGTGATCTCCTTTGGGCCTAAATGATGTATTTTGTTTGATGCTTCTAAAAGCAGAGGAAGCCATTTGGTTTTCTTTCTGGAGTTCGCAAGCTGATTGGTATCATTTTTGATAGTATGAATCTTTGCAGGAAGGAATACATAGTGGTTGCAAATGTGCATATCATGTTTTCCCACCTATAGTATATGTAAATGTGTTACCTGAGGAAAATGTATGGAGTTCTTATAGCTTTTCATTTTCTACTTGAAGGATTTACTATTTCAAGTTGTTTTTCCAGGCTTACTTTGTAACCAATATGGAGCCGATCAAGTTTTGGGAGTTCATGTCACTTATTCTTGTAGGCCTTGGCTATGAAAGGTATTCTTTTCTTGCTTTCGCTGTCATGGCATGTCCTTAAGCAGTTAAGCGAGCATCTGTTTACGAGAATATATATATATATATATATATATATATATATATACATACTGGTAGTGTTATACGTCTCTGCTATGTTTTATTGCAGATGTGTTATGGGTTATTGGGTTTCCTGGCATAATATCTCATTGTTCATTTGATTGATCCTTACACTGTAATTTCTATTTCTTATTACTCTTCACTGGACTTATCCATTCTTAGGAAAGAAAATATATTGCAGGTGACATCTAACAGAGTGTAATCTTTAGCCTTTTGAGGGAAAGAGAAAGCTGGACAGCTGAGGTTATGTACTGTATCACCGATGATATTGAGAGGAATGGATTATATACAATCATCTTTTTCATCATCAATACCTTGTATTATGGTTCTTAAAATTTACTTGCTTCTTCCCTGTMGGATTGTGTTATCTCCTGACTGTAAAGCTAATTCAAGCAACTTACTGATCTACATAAGAACAATAAGGTTTTCATTTTCTTGTAGGATGTCCATGTGCTCACTGTGTTTGGATAAAAAATGCATGTATGCTTGACTCCTGATGCATCTTTTTGAAGGCCACTACCTACCTATGATGGTCTTTATGAGGAAGCTCATGTTTAAGCGTTGACATCTTTCTAAGTTTCTGTTCTGTTCGTTGGTGATCATAGGTGGACTGAACATGGTTTCAGTTTTTAGAGGTTCATGGCAATGGATTGCCTTCTTGTTTAAATACCAAGTGTTTAGTCTCTTTGAGGCTTAAACATAGTATCTTATAGGGGATAGGATTGAGGTTCAACTGACTGGCAATAATAAGGAGAGTAGAATGTCTGTTTGTCATCTTCATCTGGATTGTCGTTGCAGTAGCTTAATGAATCCTAGGACTTGTTCCAATCTTTAAGGTATTTCAGGTTTAAAGGTAAATTCATGATGTAGAACCTAGTTGCCAACCCGACCTGATAAAGTTCATGATTGCAAATTCCAATTTTTAACTGTTTGGTGCTGACATAGAACATATAGAAATCACTCTGGCTATGTGCTATGTGATTGCTAATCAACTCTGTGTTTTTTAAGATGCCAAGTTGCTTGTCTCCTATGAACATGGCCTTTTTGGATACTTAAGAGAGGCTTGGTTAAGTTACAGAGTTACTGCTTGGTTCTCAAAGTTTTAGGTTCTATTTGTTTTGGTCATTTATTATTCACGTTTTGTTGGTCCCATCTATATGGTACGAGAGGGGAAGAAAATGTGACTGATTTCAACTTAGTTGAAGTGAGGGGAAATGATGGCACCAAGAAAATGGAGAATGTATGAAACGGGTGCAAATGAATAGTACCCAAGCTTTTTATTGATAGTATAGGACCATCTTTTTTGTGATTATGCTGTCTGTCTGGAATACGACCAATAATTGGGTTTCTATTAGTCACTATTACCCTTGAGGCTCTCTTGCGAGGTAGATTTGTTTTTTTGGGATCTCTGTTTTGATTAGCTTTCTTTGGAAATCTTTACTGGTGGGAGCTATTAAAACGGCTGAAGATCCCTTTCATTGTTTATTTAAATGAAAACAAGCATAAAGATGTATAATTGATTAGATTTTGCAGCACTTTATCTTTATTTCTGATTTTATGTAGTTTGCAGGCCAAGAATCAAGATTCCTGCTGCTGTCATGATGCCTATTGCACATTTGGTGGAGCGTACTTATAACATATTAGCCCCATATGGGATGAAGGTACCACAGTTGACGCCTTCAAGAATAAGACTTCTGACTTGCAACAGAACATTTAATTCTGGAAAGGCAAATGATCGTCTTGGCTATATACCAATTGTGCCCCTTCAGGTATGTTCTTGTTTCATTACTAAAGTTGGATTTGATACGCCTAATTTACATTTTAGCATCCTAATCGTTGCCGTCCTAAACCAATATTTGTTTTGCTGACTCAATCTTGAATCGGATGTCTGTAAGTTCCCCAGGAAGACCTTACTTACCTTTACTAGGTCAAGTCGGTATATATATTTCTTTTTGGTGTGGGACTCAACATGCATCAGGAGCACCTCAAAACTTTTGGGGCAGAGGCATCAACAATGCATTATTTGATTAATAAGCTATTGCACAAGGAGTGGTAAAAAAACACAATGCAAATAATGTGAAAAAGTCACCCACCATACAAAACATTCAAATGTGGGAGTTTGTAGCAAAAGTGTAGGAGTTTCACCTCCTGTGATGGGCAAATAGGACCTAAAACTTTTGATGGCATTTTAATTGGATATGCTCACCATTATGGTGCTTAATATAATTGAATCAATGATTATGACGATCTTTGTGCTTCTTGGGTTACTTGACGTATGCAGTCCTCTTGTTGTATCATAGATTTGCAACCCTTCTTTATTTTTGAGGCGTTTCTGCATTGGACTGATAAAGGAGTACAAATCTATGTTAAAAGTGATGATTACCTCGTAGATGAACCAGCAGAACATTGAACAGAAGCTTGTATTTGAAGTCTTAATAGCAATATGAATTGATATTTACCTTTTAATTAAACTAGTTGTGCAACCATTACAATGTTGCATATATTTGCCTATGAATATCCCAAATTGTGAGGATAATAGTATGGCAATACTTCCTATACACACACACATACAGGGAGGTTCAAATAAGAATGGTAAAAAAGTTGAGAATGCGAGAATAAATTTCCAACTGTGAGATGATTTGATTCAAGGATATGATGAACGACCTTACTTAAAATTCATTTTTTAATACTAAAAAGATTGCGACCTACCTTTTAAATAAAAAAGAGACGAAATAATCATAATTGGAAGCAGACAAATTATACAAAATAATGGGCATCTTATTCTCTATAATATGACATCCACTTTGTTATATTTTTTCATCCATTTTTTCGTATCTGACATCTTCAAACTTTTGACCATCCTCATTTGAACCCTCACCTATATTATTATTATTTCTATACAAAATATTGATAGAAGGAAATTGGGTTACTGCAGGAGGGTCTCAAAAGGACTATTGAATCATACCCAGATCTTAGGGCTGAGCTTTTGCCTAGAAAGGAAGGGCCTTCTAAAGCTGCTGTATATCTTGGAAACGGAATCGGTATGGATGAGAAAATATTTGCCTTAACCCATATTCTATCAATTTAAGTTTTAAGTTGCTTAAGTACATTGTTTATTTCATTGAAGAATTTGGTTTTCATGATATCTGGATATTTAATGCACCTTGGTTTCTTTAGTCTTCACCATAGCATTGCAAGTTAAAGTAAACAGCAGTGATAACTGGGTCTCTTCACCAAGTTACGTCGAGTTTAGTCCAACAGATTATTGCACTGACACTTCCTTCTAAAAGCGGGATAGATTCTCTCTAGGAGGGAAATTAATTTGCTCAATTCCTGCTAGTTTGGTAGGAAATGGATATGAAAGTTTTCTGGTTACAAGTTTCACGCTCATATACTCATTACTTGCTTAAACAAAGGATTCTCTACCACGATACATTTTCAACATGATCTCTACATGTTCCCTTTTTTTTACATCCACACTCCACAACGTATGCAAGCTGTATGTATATACGATTGTTGTCATGTAAAATCGAAGATTCTGGCTAGCAGGAATGAATTGCCATTGAAAGGTTTTAGTTAGGCTATACCACTCTTCTTCAGTTATATATGTTTTTGTATATCATGGAAGACTTCTGATCCTTGGTGAACCATTGATATGGTTTTAAAACTTAAAACCACTGGAGAATCAACAAATGCTTGCAGAGTGACATTTCTTTTGGGAAACAAATTCTGCAGACAAAAATTTACTTGTGGTTAAGAATAAGAGCGAAAGATTTATATATCCGTCGTGGTATTTTCGGTAAACAGAAGAGGCACAACCTTAAAAACCTGTTAAACTTTTGATTGAAAATGATGATAAAAATAGCCCCTTAAATGACTTCTCAGTGTGTTACTACATCACATTGTTATCCCCGACCAGAACACAAATCCATACAGCTCGTACTACGAGGGCCTGCAGTGAACAGAATACCCTGTAGATTGGGTAGGGGGGAAGTTAAGTTCAATATCTATCTCAGAGCAGAGAGTGCTTTGGGRGGGGGGGGGGGCATGGTCGGATTGTACACACAGTAAGAAACTCACTGAGAGGTGGCTAGAGATGCTTATAACCTCATATGTTGATATTGATGATTATGATTGTGATTCCTACTTCTGCTATGATGTGAAATTCTATAAACATTTACATAGGTTCTGAATGATTGTTATGAGATTATGCTGCAACATTATCAATGGTGTTCACAGTTGATTTATTTCTCACCTTTCTGACTCTTAACATTTCGCAGTTGCGGACATACTTCTTTGGAGAGATACAAAGCTGACGTTCACCGGGATGCTCGCTTTGATTGTATTTTACGTCAGTTTTGTATTACCTGGAAGTACCATGATAACTGCAGTTTCCAAGGTCCTCATGTGGGCGTCAATCCTTATATTCATTCATGGAAAATTGCCCAATCATTTGTAAGTATCACATCCCAATATAATGTTTGACATGCCAAAGCTTAAACAAGGAGGATTTTTAGCTTCTCTCGTTTTGTGTTACTGACTTTGTGTTAATTGGATTCTTTATTACAGTAATATTTGGGGCATGCGGAGAGAAATATATTAGTTTGGGATGAAGTAATAGTAGAATTGAAAACAAATATGGCATTGTGTTATTTTCTTATTAGTCTTGAGAATAAATTGGAGTTGAAGACAAACATCACACCATTTTATTTTCTTATTAGCTTCTGATTTAGTTTAGGAAACATTTATCAACTACCAAAGCTGGTGGTATCACATGCACCCTTATGACTTGGCAACCAACCCTAGTGTGGTTAGGATAACTTTACCCATTTTTTAGCTGGGGCGAGAAGTACCACCTAGTAGGGTAGTTGGTGGCATGTTCACTATCCAGCAGGCTGCTTTTTTCTACTATTGTTCTTTATTATAAGAATTTCAAGCTTGAATGTTTAAAGGTCCAGTGAAGTAAATTTTTTCTTAGCCCAAAGACATCAAATGGTGAACATATTTTAAGTAGCATTACAAACATATACACATGGTTAGGGTACCCCCTGGCTCAGGTTGATTTCTATGAGGTCTGCTATCTTTAAAAGAGCACCTCAGAATCCTGCATAGATGGGTGGGTGAGGTAGACTAATTCAGGTTTCTAGCACCTGAAGGATCAGTTTTGTTTTATATCTGTGGAATTATAGATACATTCTCATGTTATAAGTCCTGACCTACAGTTTCACAGACTATCCACTAGATTGAGGAAGTGACTTTTGTAAGTGCATAAACCAAACCAAACGAACCAGTGAATCCCACATGGATAGAGCCTGGGAAGGGTATGATGGACACCGACCTTACCTCTACCCAAGGAGTAGAGAAGTTGTTTCCGTGAACATACCTGGTTTGTGAAAAGGTTTTGAGAAAAAGGATTTTGCAGACAAAAAAAAAACAAAAAGAATTGTTCCGAAAGTTTGATAAAGAAAGAGATTAGAAATAATAATGAAGTATAAAAGAAAGAGATGAAGTTTAGAACAGTTGAAGAAACAGTAACATGCACAAATATAAAAACACACAAGGACATTTAAGTGCATACGAGAGCGTATGATCCACTAAACTAACTAAAGATTGTTGTCCATCCTAGGGCTTTGCTACCACTTACTCACCCTTTACCTCTCGACCCCTCTAAACTAACTAAAAAGGCAAAACGATTGTACGAAACCACTAAACTAACTAAAGAAACAAAAAAATTGTTCCAGAAGTTTGACAAAATTGTAACTGCATGATAGTTTTAATTGTATGCTAACCGCAGCTTCTACTGGTGCAGAATGGGATATTCAGTCGAGAAAATTCCGGAATCAAAGTTTCAGTGCTCGGAAGAAATGTCCCGCAGAACTGCTCTATCAGTGGCTTCATCGTGGAATTGTGCAGTAAACAATTTAAAATCTATTTCCAGTGGGCATGACTGGACGCTATTCTTCAAGGTACTTTCATTGAATGCATTCCTTTGATCTTTAATTGGATTCATTACATCGAGGTTTATCATCTCTGACCGCCATTTGTATATATCAACGTCATTGCTACATCACAACCATCAAGACGCTCTGTGGTTCCCAAGTTCATTCTTTACTTTCGGTCTCTCTTAATATCTTATGAACTTCGTTGCTTTGTTCATAAACAGATGGCTATATCTCTCTTTATTGTAAGCTGCATTGGATCCATGTCCCTGCAAAGCTTTTTTCTAAAAGGTTCGTACAATCTTTCTCCCTCTCTTTTACGTATGCACGTGTGAGGGCATTAGTGCTATCTCGAACGTCTTTATGCCTGCATCTTCTTCCAATTTTTGCCTCGATGAAAGTCATTCAAATTTCAAACAGAGTTTACACTAGAACAAAATCGACCTTGTTGGAAGCCAAATATGTCTAAATGTTCTAATAGACTGCTTCATAAGAGTTCCGGTTTATAAAAACATTAGTTTCGAGTCTACAGGATGTCTCTATTTTGTTGTTGTTTAGGTGTTTTAGATATTTGACCAATAGTCAGACACCTCCATCAAACCATATGCCCAAATTCGAACCACATGTTGAATACCTTTAATAAAATGTGTGTTATTTCGTTGCAGTCGTTCCCTTTAGCTTTGTTGTGTTCTACATTTACGATCAATATGAAGACGAAGTGGACAGGATTGTTCAAACAGTTATCCCAATCGAACGCTTATCAAATCCCGACTTCTTAAGATTATTGAATCCCTTCAAGCCGCTTGACAAACAGCATTAGTCGATCGTTGCAAAGCCATTTCGTTACGAGAGACAGATGAGATGGATGTAGGCAAGTTTTTCCGTTACTGTTGTTAGTTGTGTTGATTTGATGATGATCTCTTTTCCCAGAAACAGGGATATGGAAGTATTTTTAAGTTGGATCTTTTTCTGTTTATTAATGCATTTTTTTATAATAGATATCTAATGACATGGTTGTTCATTTTGATTCAAGAGAAACCTTAATTATTCCGACATTTGAAGAGTAGGTTTTGATGTTATCTTCTGAATTTGAGTTATATATTTTATTTACAGATTTGAATTAATACAAACCCATGTAAACTGTCCAAAATACCCTCACGTGACTAATACATGACGACATTTAACGACAACGGTAAAAAAAAAACCCAACAATCAAGGATGAAAAGCGTAACAAAATACAAACTACAAGATTATTGGCGTAAACTATTGAACTTAAGGGTGCGTTTGGAACACTGGAAATGATAGAACATGACAGAGATCCCTGTTCATGTTTAGCATTACTTTTATGTGGAACAAAGTGGAACATGTCTGTTTTACCCCTATCCCATGGAACAAGGTGGAACAGATTTATATTTTATCAATATATATAAATTCAAAATGAAACTTAATTCTTTTCTAAAACATTAAATAAGTCTATTTTTTTTTACATATTATTCATTTTTTAAATTTTATTTATTATATTTTATGTTTCTTAAACTTTTATTTTACTGTCATCAAAATATTATTTTTATACGATTTTTATAATTTTATTAATTTATGTAATTTATTATATATTAATAATAAAAAATAATGTTGAAAAGAGATAAAAATAAAAATTGAAAGCTACATAAACTTTTTATTTGGTGTCATTTTAATTAGTTTGACGAAAACTTCAAATGATATATTTTGTTATAAAAATTAATTATTCTATTATAATTTAATAAATTACATAAATTAATTAAAATATACAACTTATCAGGGGTAAATTGGTCATTTTACTTATTCTATTCTGTCCAGTTTTATCTTACCAAACATTAAACAGTTGTTCTATTCTGTTCTGTTCTATCATGTCTTGTCTTATCTGGACACCAAACACACCCTAAAAAAAAAACCGAAGTTTTCCCATATCACATGAACAATTTTTGTAATCGACTCAAAAATATAATTTTAATATGCGAATTAGATTCTCCATAACCATGAGGCATATATAAACCACGTAGCTTCCACCACCCCTCCACCAACTCATAATCAAAAGGTTATTTTGGTAAATTGCACAGCCTATTAATTTTCTTTCATTTGTTCTTCATCCCTGACTTTATTAATTTAATTACTTTATTATGTTTACGTTCTTTAAGAAACCTAGTACCATTTAACATGGATCAAACATATCTAAAACTATATATATATATATATATATATATATATATATATATATATATTTTTTTAGTAATTTAAAAAATTTAGTCTAATTATGTGTCTGTTTCAGTTTGTGAAAATTTGCGGTTTCATCCCTGTGGTTTCAAAATTTTGGTTTCCATCCCTATAGTTTGTAATTCATTTCTATTTTAGTCCTAAGGCCAAAACACTAACTTTTAAGTATGAAAAACTAAAACAGAAATGAATTATAAACCATAGAGATGAAATAAACGATAAATATAAATCATAAAGACGAAAAAAATAATAAATTATAAACCATAAGGATGGAAATTATAATTTCAAAATCATAGGGGCTAAAAATGTAATTTAATAATAATTAACAGGTAGAGTTAATCCTTCTCACCACCACACAACATGTTATATGTGACGAAAACCACCTACGCCCATAATCTGTTGTTGATTTCCGACGGATACTGAAGTAAAGGAAAAATAAAATTTGCCGATCACTTGGATATCCAAAGATGACACAAAACATCACCGACGGATTACCGACAACCCATAATAAATAGTAATAAAAAAAATTAATTATTAAAAGGTCTATTGATGATAATCCATCAATCATCATCAATAGATCAACAATGATTCTTTAAATAATTCAATTTTTATTTTTTAATTAAATTTTTGAAAAATCCATCGGTGGATACGAAAGAAAGGACGTATGAGCCAACCGGTTAGCTATTTGAGCTTACGATAAGTCCATGCGAGTTTGAGCTCAAGTTTAGTATAATATGCTTTTAACTGAGCCAAACCCACATGCAATTCATACTTGTGGAGTCGATTAATTAGCGATACATCGTCGTTAATTTGGATAATTTCGATTTCAGGTTTTTTTTTCTTAATACGAAACCAAGGTTTAAAAGGAGCCAAGCCTACACCAGCAACAGAGTCGAGATCTGAATGTATTAGAGTATAATCGAGGGTTTTGCACCTTTTATTCAAGTTTGCAACTACTATTTGATACCAAGTTATGTGACGAGATGCCAAAACTGCTCCAAATTTATCAAGATTTTGATCACTAGTTTTGTTCGTGTTTCATAGATTTTTTTTATAAAACAAAAGCTTCAAAAACTTGGTCATAGTGAATGAGACTTGAGATCATGTGAGACCAATGGTTTTTCGTGAGACTTGTAAGACCAATTCTCAACCTTTGGATTAGATCTACAATCTGAACATTCATGATCACAAAATTGCCACGAGACTTCTCAATAATCACAAAATTGTCACCGTACAACTTTAGACCATTTAATCATTAGCTTATAAAGTTGATCAATGAACACAAATTGATCTTACGAGTCTTACAAAAAACCCTTAGTCTCACGTGAACCCAACCCTAATGAATAATCCATCAAAAACTACTACGCGGTTTAAGGCTTATTAAACACTTGTTTAACGGATATATCTTTGACTCCACGGAAGATTCTTTATGAAAATATATGCCCGTTTTCAACAACCCCTTTGACAACGTTTCAATGCGCTCTAAAACATATAATACTATCGAAAATGCTAACACTAAAATGAAACAAATATTTATTATATTCAATATATACGTCACTATAATAAAATTGGGTTTATAGAATATCATCAATTTCTAAGCTTTCTAATAGATCGTTTTATAGGACTTAATCTATAAGAACAAAATATAAAGCGTTCTATAGGACGTTTTTGAGTGTTTTAACAAGCTTTTTGAGATACTTTTAATTCAAAGCGTCACATTAGCAGTTTTATAGGATGCTTTTGAAAAATATCATATAAACTTATCTTTTTATAGAACACTTATTTTTATAAGACATTTTTTCAAATAGTGTCATATAAAATTGTTAATGAGATGCTTTATATTAAAAATGTCATAAAAACCTGTTAAAAAGTCTACAGACGTCCTATAAACTTATTATAATGCCTTTAAATAAAACGCTTTATTTTTTGGTCCTATAAAACAGTCTATTAAAACACTTTTTTTTTTGACGATGTGTCATCATTGTTTATTTTTTTTAATTGACTTTGATTTTTGTTTTTTTGTATATTATTATAAAGAGGGTAGAATTTTAGGTAGTTGGCCATAAACAAAGAAGAAGACCATACAAACCCTTAATAAAATTATGATTTCTTAATTTTTTAATTTGTGAGTTGTGATTTAATAAAATATGTGAAATTGGTTTTGAAAATTATCACTTAATTCTTATATTTCTTTTACCAAAATTAAGAAATATATAAGAATTTTAATTAATTTGTAATGAGGATAAAGCTGATAGAATAAACACTGTCTTTTTCCATTTAATAACACTACTCGAAAACAAGGTATCAGTGACGAAAATCAACGACGGAAAAAAAAAAACCCTCACTAATCAGTGAGGAATCAACGAGGGAATGACCAAAAAACCAGTTAAACATTTGAAAATTTGGGACCTTGTGATACATGTGATGTGGATTTGCTTACGATTTTATTGATTATATTAAGACCTTAAATCATAAAAAAACAAAAAAATAAATATTTAATTACGAAAATAAAATAATTAAAAATAGATTCACGAAATTATCATCAAAATCAAGCCAACTACTCCAACACAAGATGCAAAATACAACCTTCAAAGTCTATTGTTTTCATTACTTTTTTAAATAATAATAATATCTAATAATTAATTAATTGAATTTATCAAAATATCAATTTCGTTATCATTGTGTTTTAAATTATATTTAAAAAGAAAAAAAAATATAAATAAAATTAATCAAGATTTAAAATGGAAAAGGCAAATTAGTGATTCAAATTTTCATAGCTACTATTACTATTACTATCTATACTGTATTATAAAACATTTGACAAAAACTCTTAAAAACAGTATTTTATGCATAAAATATTGTTTATTGATGCTTATTATTTAAAATTCAAGATTACAAGTAGAATGTGCATGTGTACATCTTATTAAAGCTCTATGTTTGAATTCGTATAACTAACTGCAGATAAACATAATCAAATACATGATAAATATCATTTTAAATATAAAAAATTCAAAATATAATTAAGATAATAATTGAGTTCTAACAAAATACTTAAATATTATCTTAAACAAATTATTTTATTAAACCAAAAATAAATTAGTTCGTTATTGAACTTCAATTAAATTACAAGAAACAATCAAATTAAAAAAAATATACAAAAACAAGAACTTTTAAATAGTTAATTTGATACTAATATCGATAAATTTTTTAAAATTTTATAATATCTCCAAATTTATATTTCATTGAAAAATAAAAACATTTTCTTTTTCTCAAAATCACATAAAATCGCATTATAACATCAAGAGAACCAAAAATATAAAATGAAATATCAAAATGAAGATGTATTTTACTGCACTACGTAAATACCCTTTTAGTTACTAATAATGCATTTTAAAATAAAATAAAGAGGCGGCTATCGTTCTTTCTACCAATCTAAATAAATTATTAATGTAAGGGTAGTTTTGTCTATTTAATTCATGGTGACTAGTCTAGTTAGATGAAGTCAATTCTGTTAATTAGTAACAGTTAGTTTTTAACCATAGTTTGGGTTCTTTTATATAATAAATAGTT